AAGATTTCTTAGGCGTTTGTAAGACGTTTGGTTTATATTTACTTAATGGCAGGTTTTCTGATGAAGGGGATTATGTCTATGTTGAAGCAACAGGTGTTAGCTCACCAGATTACATTTGTGTGTCAGCCTCCATTTACAAGTATGTAGAGGACTTGCACTGAGTCAGACCATCTTCCCATATTTGCTTATTTCTCATCATTGTTTAATCTAGTAGACACTCTAGAATAGGATTACAGCCTAGGTGAGGACAGGTGTAGATATATATGGAACGCGAATAAGAGTGAAGACTATATGAATAATTTTGAAAGTGAATTAGTGCAAGAAATGTTAAATTAATTATTACCTGTGTGGAAATTGATGTTGATAAAGCCGCAGAGAAGTTACAGCATATAATACAATACTGTTGAAGGAATATGAAAGTAAAGAGGTCCAAATATATAGGCTTTAAGAAACAACCAGAATGGTTTGATGAAGAGTGTGAACAATTGAAGAGAGAAAAGTATAAACTCTTGAATAGGTTCAGAAAGTTGTCTTCTTCGGAAAACTATAACTTATACAAGAACATTAGAAACAAATTTAAATCTTTCTGTAAGCAAAAACTGACTCATTTTAAGCATTGCATTACAAAGGCATTAGTAAATGCTGCGAATGATAGCAACTGTACAACATTTGGAGACTTGTTAAACGTTATATCACCTCACGCTCGCAGGGCTCTAGCATCGCACCAGCAACTTGGGTAGATTATTTTAAGGAATTACTTAATCCAGTGTCAATAGGGGATGAGAATTTCTCAACTGAAGTTACGAGCAGTGGTATTATAACGGTCAACGTATAAATACGGTTAACGCCTATAAATATTTGGGACTTATTTTCACTCCCAATTAATTTGGACTAAGGCCTGTAAAATGTTATGTGAGCAAGCAAGCAAAACACGTTGGTCAGTTAAATCGTTAATAAGACGTTATGACATTTCGGTAACGGAAGCATTCTTTATATTTGGTAAAAAAAATGTTCCGATATTAATGTATGGTGCTGCGATTTGGTGATACCAAAAATAGAATACGATTGTTCACAGAAAATTTTGTAAATTTTTACTACACACGAGCTACAAAACTGCAAATGCAGTAGCCTATGGTGGATGTGGCAGGTATCCACTTCATACTATTTATTATGTAAAATGCATTACATATTGGTTTAAGATTTTGCAAATGAGTCCAAACAGATACCCATACCAGTGTTATAAAATGTTATTATCCATTGCTGACAGAAAACGTCCTAACTGGGCATCGCATATCAGACATTTGCTAAGTCATTGTGGTTTTGGGGATGTAAGAGCTACACAAGGCGTTGACAATGCAGAATTATTTGTACATATGTTCAGCGAAAGAGTTAAAGATTGTTTGTTTCAAGATTGGCATGCATCTCTAGGCAGCAAGACCCTCTCATTCTATAAACTGCATAAATCTTATGAAATCTTAAGCATTGTGAAAATATAAGGCTAGTAACAAAATTTAGATGTGGACAGAATACATTTGGTATACAACCTATACGAAGGGGTGTTGCTAATATTGAGGATGATGCCGTCTTATGTAAACACTGTCATGCAATTGAGGATGAACTTCATGTTATATACAACTGAATAAAATAGTACTATTTTTTTCCATAGGTATATCTGTATAAGATTTTGTAAGATAAACATGCTGTCAATTATCGAATATTCGGGTCTGAATCCTGCTTGTTCTTCACTTATCCTATTTTGAGAAAATGCCAAAGTGTTCCTTCTAATATTTAAATAGTAGTATAAACATGTATTGATAATATTCCTCCATAATTTCCTGTGTCAAAATTTAGATAATTTACTATGGATGGGAGATATTATACTTAAAACCCGATTCTTTTAAGAAGCTCATCAGAAGAAATGCATTATTTAATAAGCTGGTAAGAAATCCTTGCAAAATTTCAAAAGTACATTTCAACATTTATGCACAGTTTTTTCTTTATCTTACATATAAATAAATTCCACTACTATTATTCTTATTATACAACCATTATTTTCATAGAAAACATTTATTCTATTTTCGTCTAATGTATCCTAAAATAATAAAAAACCATTGCTGGTCAAAAAATGGATCATAAATATATTCAAACTTATTATGATTACTAGATTTCATATATTTCCAGATTTGTGTGGTTTTATTCTGACAGGATATCAACTTGTCTTGTTGTTGCGTTTGATACCCAAAGCATTTCTGTTCATCTTATTCTTAAACAATCCCTTATGTGTTATATAAACAATTTTTTCCCATTATGTTTATGGACATTTCTCTAATAACTTTGATTTCTTCCAAACTCACTGTCCTTCCAAAGAACATAACAAATATGTCTCTTTCTTCTGGAATACAACAATATTCTTTTCTTTTTACCAGCAACTGACAGGATAAATAGAGATTACTACACGAGTGTCTGTCAGATACCATTGATCTTACAACGAGTTGTTTCAAAACGTATCTAACGAGCGAAAGCGAGTTAGATACGCTTTGTAACAACGAGTTGTAAGATCAATGGTATCTGACAGACACGAGTGCAGTAATCTGTTTCTTACACACCCTGAAATCGCACCTTTTAAGCATCGAACCGATGAATTTTGTCTATTCTCATGATTGCAGTAGCGCATTAATACACGTAACACCACTGTCATAAGTGACGCCATCCTATGTGCTGCTTACTACTCATAAATAATGTGACCCTACACAAAAAGGTTTCCGTCCTATCTGTGGATTATCAAGGCGATGATGAAAATGCAAACTAGACAAAAAACAAGAACACGCTGGGTGCCAAGTTGAAATTTTACACCGCAAAGAAATTACCAAATATGTACAACAATGTTTACTTCCGTATGACATCACTACCGGTGACCGACTTTTACAAAATGGCGTGTTCACTGACAACAGTACGCGGGATTTCCAGAGGAGGTTTTCGTTGATTAAGAGATCGTATACACATAAATGTGTCACGTAAGTAATCAGAAACATTCTGACAATCTGCGTACTGTTATTTGTTTACCATGTTTTCCAATGTAACAGAGAATTAGTCAGATATGCAGATAACTAGGCCTACCGTCATCGTTGTGCGTGATTTAGCGTCAGTCATGGCGTCACACAGGACGGAAACTTTTACGGCTTCTGTTGAATTTACCACATCATTTTAAATATGTGTAATTCCATAATTAGTGCAACGATACTCTTCCCATGAATATTCTCAAACGCGTGATCGAGCCAATGTATGCAACAATTAGACGAAAGTACCTCTTATAATGCTACAGAGTAAAATCTGAATTTTGCTTTGTTTACATTTCAGCAAGTACAATTTTCCGAGCACAGTTTTCGTGTCCATAGCTAATTTATGTCGCATGATTTCATCTAGATAATTTGCATTGGTGACAAAGACCATTTATCCATTGTTTCGAAAATGTATGAGGAATTCAGGGATGCATGTATATCAGCTGAGTTTGAAATATACCTGATCGAATATAGGCGTCACATAATCGACATTTTGTAAACACAATCCAATATGGCGGAACGTACACTTCGGCGTTCGTGTGTGCATATTTTCCAAAACATTCTAAACGATTCTAGGCTTATCAGTGACGTTTCAGAGTTATCATTAGTGATTTGATACCCGTGATCGCTAATATGCTATTTTTCTACTTTAATTATTCGAGTAAATATCCGATATTTAGATTTCTAAACACACAGTGGATTCTAAATATTTATATAACGCCGTGAATTGTGATTTGGCGAGATTTACAATGTACCTAACTTTCAGTCACTTTCAGTAATTTTGAATTGCCTAAAATGACAGTAAATGATAAACAGAAGGGGGAATTCAAAACTGTGAAGTGTCTGCGTGATGTATTATGAATTTTATTCGATTTCGAAGTGAGGGTTGAAGAGAAGGGACATGTGTCGCTGTGGCAGCCAGGGGGTTTACACTCTGAAAAAACGATAATGTTGACGTAACAACAGATAATGTAACTGATAATAATAATAACAAACAAACTCGCAGACGAGGACGAGTTTGCTTATTTTTATTATTAATTACACGGTCCTGTTGTTCAATACAGACGTAGGTGAATACTCGACTGAAGCACGAGCAAGTTATTAATGACTTACACTCAGGAAAGTAGTCCGTCATCATCTGACCCCAGGTCATTACCATGGAGTAGCCAATCACGGGCCTGGAATTCGATCTCACACATATGTTTGATACCAGTTATCTCAAATGGGTTTCTCACCCACAGGTGTGTAAGAATATCATTTAACAATTACTTTGCTAAATAAAATACTTTTCAAATGTTGAGTGAATCATATAATCTACAGTGCAAGTTGATCATCAACATAACGACAATTTCAACATAAATCTACAATAAGTCCGAATTTGTTGAATATTTCATTATTCTTATTTTTTTCTGTAATGATAGAAGATATCACTAACAAATGTATAACTACATGTAAAAACTGAACATTTACATGGGATATCAAATCTAAAAGATTTCTCGTTCTGGCATCAAAATATCTTGGCAAAAGTATTATATGATTTAAAAACTCTACTTTTCATTTCTTGCAAATATTTCAGTATAATACTTATACCAATTTTTCAAACAGATTGTCATCATTTGGGGATCAATCCAGTGAAATATAAACAAAACACATGACAATATCTGGCACCATAGTTGGTGTGACGAGCAGCAACTACAATGTTCTTAATGTGTTTATATATTTGTCAGATTAAATAATTCTGGACAAGTGTTTCTCTCACAAACACAGATATTCCACGCCAAAAAATATTATTTGAGAATACTTCATGTCAAAATAACCAACATTCATATACAACATTGCTTAACAATAAATTACACTGTCACATAACGATATTGATGATAAAACACGAATCATATGTGTATAACATATGTATACAGTAGGTCAGGACACTCAGTGGTAATCCAGTAATATAGGCTTAATACGTCACTTGGTGTGTGAACAATGATTTGAACAATGAGACAATTCATCCCTTTGTTATGAATTTGTTAATATCACAACATGACTCGCGAAGAAATGTCAGCTACAGTCATTTTACCAAATTATGTAAACTTAACAGATAAAAAGACCGCCCATGTACCCCCATTTTGTGCGTCATAGACTACAATGGATGTGCTTGTCCAATAAAGTGCATACCATCCAATCCATTTATGTTTCACTTCCATGTCCACTTGTTCCTTATCATTGCAACACCTGATGATGATATAAAACGTTTTTTCACACAAAGCAAAGGCAACTGTACCATTACTATTCCATTTTATGTTCTTAGGCATCTGCACCAGTCCTTTTACATCCACCCTCCCATCCAGTACAAGTGCACCTTTAAAAACATCAATACTGTACTTCTGTACCGCTGCACTGTCGCCTTGACGGAGATATACACCCATTCCGAACTTTCCATTGCAGGCAAATATACATGAGAGCACTGTGGCAGGAATATTTCTGTAAAAACGAGCATATATAAAACATATATCAATTGTGGCATGATAGTTTCTGAAAACACATCGCGAGTTGCACGTTAATACAGTAAAAAGAGTATAGACGTAACTATGTCAATTATCACCACGTTCAATGACCAATGCTTCATCGAACACAGAAGGATGTTTCCCCCTTCTGTTTTTCAATGTGGGATGGCATGTTGGCAATGCAGAATTATTTGCACATATGTTCAGCGAGAGAGTTAAAGATTGTTTGTTTCAAGATTGGCATGCATCTCTAGGCGGCAAGACCCTCTCATTCTGACTTGACAGATATAAATTTGGTCTCTGCTTGATTGCATTTTGGAGTATGATGAATCTTTGAGACATGGATTTGCTGGACCCTGCAATGTACCCCTTTGTATGGCTTAACAGTTCCTGCTTCCTTGGGCGCTACAATTGTAATGAGGGGCGGTCGGGTAGCCTAGTGGTTAAAGCGTTCGCTCGTCACGCCGAAGACCCGGGTTCGATTACCGACATGGATACAATATGTGAAGCCCATTGGTGGTGTCCCCCGCCGTGATATTGCTGGAATATTGCTAAAAGCGGCGTAAAACCATACTCACTCACTACAATTTTAATGGCCATTTCGGCTGTTTTCATTAACATTTAATGTGATGTCCTGCTTTCCGGGGCCTGTAAATGTAGGTTACATTGGCAGCAACTACGTACTCAAACAATTTAGTGGTATTTATTGGTAATCTACGAAATCATCGGCTAATTTACTTGGGATGACTTTTTCTCAGACCTCCTGTTGATTTGGCCCTAGAATATGACATGATTATGAACCTCAGGTTTTCACTGCAAGGTACACACTTCGACTTCACTTGAGAGAGTTTGGGGTCTTAGCCGGGACTCATTGACAAGTTATTTGGATTGTTAAAGCCCACTTTGTTAATCTCAATCTGGTGGAGACCTACGTTTTTTAAGGAGACATTGCCAATGATTAACTTGTTATTCATAAAAACAGGTGATTAATTACATCTCACAATAAAACTTGGTCAGAATGTGTTATTTCCAGTAGCGTTGTCAGTGTATCAATAAGAGCTAAAATAAACATGAATGTTGTTAGACATACTTTTTTATTTCCTTTTCCCTTTCCAGCACAAGATGACGTGGATTCTTGACTTCCAGGTATGAACGCAGGAACATCGCATATGTGGAACCACGCTTTACCTTTCCGAATGTGTATATGCAGGGTAGATCATCATTTGTAGTGCACATTCCTGTGTCAATTGTACTCCATTCAATCTTACGCTTGGGAAGAAAGATGTTATGCCACGGGTCAGTATTCTTCAGTGATCTTCCTTTGAGCGTGAGCATTTCCACGATATATGTAGCCCGTTTGGTGAGAGCGTAGAAATAATTAACAGAGGTGGGGCTCCAAGTCAACGATAGTATCTTCTTAGTCTGTCGAATTGAATTTATCTTCCAGCCGCCTTTCAAGGCTGTAATAAAGCATATCAAATGTTGTAATGTGCAAGGACACCGTAAATTCTACTTTATATGGTTTAAACATATTTTTATTTCAAAAGAAATCTGGATCGGTAAACAAGCAAAACTTGCTTATGTAAATACCTCTCCAGGTAATAACTTTACAACAGCTGGTTATATATCAGATTATATGTAAAATAGTGCTAAACAAACATACTAAATGCACAAATGAAATATATGAAGCCAATACAAGTGGTGTCTGTGAAATAAGATATAGCAGTTTTCCATTACTACATGCATACAATTAAGCTACTCGAATATTTTGCTTTTGACAATGAAATCGTGAACTGATTTAAGAATAGTCATGTTTGTAGAACTGCTAACTGAACTATTGCCATGTAGTACCATTTTTAAATCATACCCATGTGTGTAGAAGTACGTAGTGTTTGTGATATTATGGTATTTTTGACAGGTATAGAAAAAGTGAATTGCGTCTTCAAATTGATACCCACAAGTGCAGTCTGATATGTCTGATACATGTCGTCTAAACTTATCAGCGTTTAGGTCACTGCAGCCGAGCCTAAGGCGACAGTGGACAATTTGGCATGATCTATTCTACTTTATATTGCGTGTGGGAGGTGGTAGGGGTGTGGATGTGGGTATAAGTGGCAGCATTTGGAGATGTTGTTTGTTACCTTTCATTTCCCAAATCGAAATAATATAATAGCCCAGAAATCTGTACCTAAAAGAACTGCATGTAACTGTGCGTGAACAACAGACAATCAACAAGTGGTACACAATCAACAAATTCATTACAAAATTCACGAAGTAAGTTTATAAATCAGAGCAAATTCCTGCACTGAACGTATATGGCAGTAAACAGTAGGTGTAGTACAATATCCAATGGCAATAAATAATATGATGGCAGTATCAAATACAAAAATACAGTGGTGATGGCAAAAGTCAGTGATAATAATGTGTATTCACCCATAGGCGACTGTGGTCAAACATCCCAGAAGGACCAGGCAGGGAATCAATAATGACGAGCGATCTTCACATAAAAGCGATGAACATACGTGTGAGTGAGACCAAATGTGCCAGCCATACGTAAATATGCTCCCGTCTTCTTATATAGACCCTACCTAGCAGCTGAAAATATCCAGAACCTTCACGACAATGCCGCTAGGCTCCAGACAAAGCTGACGTCAACTAGGGTATCATTATACCATAATCAGCAGACCGACGTGCAGAAACACGCAAGCCAATGCTGTACACGATCTCCCACAGTATGGAAGACCTCGCATGACATAAAGACATGAGGACATGGCCCTACTACGGCTTTGGTTTCGGTTTCGGGGCATCTCCTGTTCTGAAGCGCCAGAGCTTACCCAATAGGCAGTTTTTTAATGGAAACAATGAGATCGACTGAAACCGGCAGGAATGAAGTCCAGAAGGTTAATCGCCCGCCCCTTGCCGAACATCATCAGAGAATTGTGTTTGGCCTGGAGAGCTAAGGACTTGGCGGCAACTTTCCATCAGGAATGGCTGCAGTTGCCGATAAAGCAGATAAGACGACTTACTAAAGGTATGAGACGTAGGCTGGAAGCTATCATCCGGTTTACACGCTATTGGTGACTTGTGTCATGAATGTTATCTTTGGACTGTGTGAGATGTACACATGGGATGACCCCTTTAGCGATACCCGTGAATCACGTGACACAGTAAGCCAATAAGCGCCGTGTATGTTGTAACGGGTCGTCCGACTGATTAACCGACTGGCGACCCAGATTCTTATCCCTTACATTTGGCGGCTGCAGTTAAGAACATTTTAAGATAGATACAACAGATGTAACTTGTGAAAGAAAAACTGACTTTGTATGTTATTATCGTCATGTTATTGAATGTGGATTTCCATCCCAACGGGAGAGAGTTTGGGTGGCTCTGGGAGCGCCCAGCAGTCATGCACTTTCGGGTTTAGGTTTAAAAAATGACAGTTTATGACCCAAAGCAAATGACAAATGCGAATATTTACGAGAACTTTCACGAAATCATGACATGAATGACAGACCTTGCTGACACTAGGCGACTATAGATCACAGGAGACCCTCAACATATAATCTTAGTCATATATACTCTTCAAAAAAAGAAACTTGACACTGACTTTCAAAATTTTATATAATGCGATTGTTTAAAAATAGGACACAGAAACCATAATTGAAACACTATTTGAAGATCAATGTACACAATGTTCAAAACATTAATAGTGTCACGTAGACAGACACACGTACACGATACAGTTAATGTCACAGGGGTACAGAAAATGTCAGTATTGGTTGTGCCCACCACAGGCATCAATCACCGCTTGACACTGACGACCTAAAGATGCAATCAAGTTGTCAATAACATGCTGTTGGATGTGCTACCATTCATGCTGAAGTGCATCAAGAAGCGCCTGAAGTGTTTGGGGCGGTGGATTCCTTCTGCGAATGCCATGAACGTTGATGTGAGGAAGAACGTAAGGCTGTGGGATCAAGTCTCTGTAATGCACACCTGTCAATGCACCTGCCACATGCACGAGAGGAGTACTACCACCGTGATGAATTCCGGCCCATACCATGACACTCCCGCTGCTAAATGGGACAACCTGCTGCACACAGTTGGGGGCGTAACGTTCATCCCGACGTCTGTAGACACGTGCGCGCCCATCAGCACGTGTGAGTAGGAAACGGGACTCGTCATTAAACAGTACATTTCTCCACCTTGCACGTGCCCATCTAACCCTCTGTTGGCACCAAAGCAGACGGTCCGCAAGATGACGTTGGGTCAATACATGACGTCGAACAGGTCTTCGTCTTCGTTCCCTCAGTCTGTTGCTTACCGTTTGATCTGACATTCTGCGCACCCCAGGGATCTGTGTGGTTGTGACGTGGCTGTGGTAATGCGGTCTCGGATGTGTCGCAGCCGGATGTATCGATCTTGTGCTTGGGTTGTCACCATTGGTCTTCCTGACCTAGGTCTGTCGTCAAATCTGTTGGTGTTGGTGTATCGGGTCCACAGTGCGGAGATTGTCTGTCTGGATACGCCATAGTGCCTGGCCACTTCTTGCTGAGTTGCTCCAGCTTGTAATCTCCAAATGGCGTTGTTCCGTTGAGCTGCATTTAGTCTTGGCATTCTGTCACCGCCTCTACTGCCGTTATAAGGACTGTATGAACAGCCGTTGATGTGGATTTTTATAACCATTCATAAGGGGGGCCTGCATGGCTAAATGCAGGATCCTGTGCTGCACGTTTTTTACAGGCGGTTGCGTTTGGATGAAGCTGTAAAATTGATCCCCAAACGCTACGTTTATGTGCTTTGCAAGTGTTTTCGCGAATTATAGGCACATCATCTTTCTGTTTGACTTATTTGGTTTTCATTTAATGTAATTATTTTAGATATTTGGCAAAAAGTGGTTTTACATCTATGTCAAGTGTCTTTTTGGAAGAGTATATATGAATCGAAACGGTCGAAGGGCAAACAACAGATTGTTAGTTATTTGCTACTACAAATAGAATCTAACCTATAATTAATCAGTTCACTGTTTTAAGCAAAAGGTGCCTAGAGGATCTCGGCACACACACATAACCTTTCCAGTGTTACACATAGCCTATCCAGTGTTGCAAAAGCAAGTCAAGAATATATAAACACGAACGTGAAATAGGACTGATATGTATAGCCAGATGCTTGACTTACATATCTTCTCTGTATTAAAATTGATTCCTAAACAAGTTTACTACTGTTTGTATATCACAGTGTATGAATTAACACAGAAACGTTTCACGCATAAAAATCAACAAACTGCCACAATTATTTTGCCACAGTTTTATATGCAATGGTTATTTTGTCGGTTAACATCAGAAAAATATAAGAAACACGTCAAAGTTGATAAATGAAAATGAATCGAAATTTGGAATTTCTCTATTGTTAAAAATAGTGATTAGCTTGCAGGTTCTAATCATGTGACGCCTCATTAGTCTGCAGGGTAGTCTATTGTAGTCATCATGTCAAAGAAGCATCAATATTGCTGCCTTTGAGACAGTCCAGTTGTCGTAGACTATATTACTGAGAACATAAATTTGTTTTCCTCCTGCTAACAATTCTTGCTCTTTGAATGTTGCCATGATACTTACACAATCTCCAGTTTGTGGTATGGAAACTGGCAACATTAAGGTTGAATGGGACGAGTTGCTCGCCCCTGGTGTGTACACAATATATGTCTACAGCACCCACGTCGATCACAAGGGCAACCAGCGACATTAGATTGGGTATGCATAAAGACTCTGTGATTTCTTTACGAAGAAGATTCTGAAACTGACTACATACAGGGACAGAATTGGACGTTCCTCGCATCCACCCATGTCGACAGGTACATGTCCTTGTCACATGTGTCTGGGTTTAAGATCTTATACACATATCACAAAGATGCATATTGAATATTCTAAGCACGATGAATTAAATCCTGGTCCTGTTTGAATGAAATACTTAGATAGTTGATGAGATGCATGATTTTCGAGCGTCAGTCTCTAAGACATTGATCGTATGAAAGAACAACTAAATGAGGTTCATAGGAAATGCTTTAGAGATGAATGCAGACTCCATTAAGAAAAATATATGGAACAAAGCAAAAAAATATGAACTCTGATGTTGATGCATTTTGGAATTGTTTAGTCAGAGGGACAACGCAGTGTTTCATGGTGTTCCAGAACCAGAGAGTGAAACTCATGAAGAATGTAAAGATACCCTACGTACTCTCCTCAACACACGTGTCGAACGAATTATGGAAAACCGGGATAAAGTTATGGCAGACCAAATAGGATCGAAAGGAAGTGGGACTGAAAGCAAACTGCGCCCCAAAATCGTTTGCATGTTTTGAAAACAAGATTTGGACACTCAGTCAACGCCAGTTTCGTAAAGGGAACATTGGCATCTCAGGCGATCTGACAATTACTCAGGCTATTGCAGAAATGTGAAGTCATGTATTTTTTCATTTTTCAAGAACGTCCTTCCAAGGCGGAAACCTCTGGTAAAAGGAAAACACTGACGGAAACCATGTGATCTAGGTCAATGACTAACTCAAGGAACTGTGTGAGGGAGATGGAACGGCCTCCACTGAGAAGTATCAATGACGGAGGTTATGGCCCAAAGAACCCTCGTACACCAATCTTTAACAATTCCTTATTAGATGAGCATGCACTTACACATTATATTAAAAATTTAACCTAGAATAGTAAAGGTATATATTATCTAAATTCGTTGACATGGGTTTTCTAAAATATCTCTCTGACTATGACACATGGTGTTTACTGTAAACATTCTGTAGCTTCTGTCAGCTTTTTTCATATTCACTGTAAACGAGCAAAGCACCAAACACATATATACATTATACAATATGTATATTATGCATACAAAAGGGATATGATGTTGTAAACTCAATGTAATTTATTTCGCATTGTACTATTGGCATTGCATTCCTTGTATATTGGACAAAGGCCTTCATGCAATAAACTATTTTTTTTATATTTTGACTTTGACAGGTTAAGGTTAAAGTACCCTTTACAATCTCTAGTTGTAATTCCAGTTCTGCTAGGCATTTTTTTAAATGAGGAGATTAAGACTACCGTGTTTACTTTTTTCGTTAACTAAGACGGAAATAATAGTCAGGTGTACACACAGTTTCAGCAAGATCTACCAGTGATTCAATTAAACCATACCCGAAAATATAAGTAAAAATGATACATATTCCAATTGTATGTTATTTCAGTTGAAGCTTTTACTATAACTTAAAATGATACGCGATAACCATACGTGTGAAACAGTTTGACCCAGTCACCGTTGAGACTTCTCGCGGTCAAGCTATTATGTTGATGTATTACATGAAACTACTTGCAACAAGGGGCGGTCGGGTAGCCTAGTGGTTAAAGCTTTCGCTCGTCACGCTGAAGACCCTCGTTCGATTCCCGACATGGGTACAATGTGTGAAGCCCATTTCTGGTGTCCCACTGTAGATACCCCTTATTTATGTGTTTGAAATGAAAATAATAGGTATCTCCTCTACAGTGGGACTTCATCAAATTTCAAAACACAGTAGGCTTATCTCTTTAATGAGTTGTCGTGGCCATCTCTTCTAATTTAAGTTGATGTAATTCAAACAAGAAATTAATAATTCACTCATGAT